GGGGCGGCGCTGGGGGCAGGGTGTTACAGCGGGCCGGTGCTTTTTTTTGCTGCTTGGGACGGCAAAAATGTTAGAGCCGGCCCTGGGGAGGGTTCACCCCTGGGGGGTTGGAGTTGGGGTTATTGGAGTCTCCGTTATTGATTCCCCCCCACCTTTCTCTCGCTCCCCCTGCAGTGCCCCCTGCTGGAGATGCTGCCACCTCAGCCCCACTCCCCCCTGCCCCCTCACCCCCTCCTCCAGCGGCCGACCTGCCCCCCCCACCCCGCCCGGCCTCCCCCCCGGCTCCTAAGGCCGACGACCCGGAGGAGGAAGCCGCTGTCCAGCTTCCGGCCCCCTCTGAAGAGCAGCAGCGCCCCCCTGAAACCTCGCCGTCCCTGCAGGACCCGCGGCACCCCCTGTCCTACCGGAAAGCCACCAACTTTGCCCTGGACAAGTTCTTGGATCCGTCGCGGCCCTACAAGTGCACGGTGTGCAAAGAGTCCTTCACCCAGAAGAACATCCTGCTGGTCCACTACAACTCTGTCTCCCACCTCCACAAGATGAAGAAGGCTTCATCCGACCCCACCGCCCCATCCCGGGGCGACTCGGGGGCCCCCGGTGCCCCCCAACCCTCCTCCGACAAGCCCTACAAATGCACCACGTGCCGGGTGTCCTACAACCAGAGCTCTACCCTCGAGATCCACATGCGCTCGGTGCTCCACCAGACCCGCTCCCGGGTGGCCAAGGCGGAGGCCGCCAGCAAAGGAGAGGCGCCGGAGGCAGGGGAGGTGGGGGAGGCAGCCCCGGCGCCCCCCACCGAAGCCGAACCCCCCAAGATCCTGGAGGTGCCGACGGCGCTGCCCTTCCCAGCACCGCTCTTCTCCCCGCCGCTGCTGCCGCCGTTCCCGGTTGTGCCGGAATCGCTCCTCAAGCTGCAACAGCAGCAGCTCCTCCTGCCCTTCTACTTGCACGACCTCAAGGGGGCGCCCAAGCTCGCTCTGGCAGCGCCGGCCCTGGCCCTGCCGGCCCCGTCCGCCCCACTGATCCTGGCTCCGCCCAAGGAGCCGCCCCCTCCACCGCCACCCCCGCCGCCTGCCCCAGCCAAACCGGAGACAGAGGAGGACGCTGGTGGAGAGGAAGCCAACGTGGCCTCCCACCCGGCGGCCAAGGCTCTGCTGGAGAACTTCGGCTTTGAGCTGGTGATCCAGTACAACGAGGGCAAGCAGGGGGTGGGGGGCGCGGCTCCCCCTCCGGTGGCCCTGCTGCCCCGCCCGCCAGCCGAGAAGCTGCGGTGCGGCACGTGCGGGAAGGTCTTCTCCAACATGCTCATCCTGAAGACGCACGAGGAACATGTTCACCGGCGCTTCCTGCCCTTCGAGGCCCTCAGCCGCTATGCCGCCCAGTTCCGGAAGACCTACGACAGCATGTACCCGCCGGCCGAGGGCACTGCCCCCACGGAGACACCTCTGGTGCCCCCGGGCATCACCCCTCTCTGCCCACCCTTCCTGATGCAGCCAGTGCCGGTGGTGGTGCCCCCGGCACTGCCCGAAGCTGAAGGGCGGTGGGTCCGGGGTGAGGAAGAGGAAGCAGGGACAGACCCATCCCGGGACAGTCAGTCGAGCCGGCGGTTCTCCCGCACCAAATTCACCGAGTTCCAATCGCAGGCTCTCCAGTCCTTCTTTGAAGCCAGCGCCTACCCCAAGGATGGCGAGGTGGAGCGTCTCTCCGTCCTCCTGGGCTTGGCCAACCGGGTCATCGTGGTGTGGTTCCAGAATGCCCGGCAGAAGGCCCGGAAGAATGGCGCCGAGGCTGGGGGTGCCGGAGGGGGCACCGTCACCAGCCAACCCAGCTGTAAGAAATGCCAAGCCGCCTTCCGGTGCATCTTCGACCTGGTGCGGCATCTCAAGAAATGCTTTGACGACCGGCCCTCAGCGGAAGGCAATGAGGAGGAGGAGGAAGAAGGAGAGGAAGAGCCGGAGGAAGAGGAACCAGAGGAAGGGCCCGAGCCACCAGCTGAGGAAGAGGAGGAGGAAGAGGAGGAAGAGGCACCAAGGGGCGATGGAGACCCCAAGGAAGATCAGCCAGTGAGTGATGGAGCCATGGAGCCCCTGGAGAGCAACGCCCCCACATTCTCCTCCGATCCACCAGGAGTCCATGGCTCAGCACTTCTGGCCCCTCATGACCTGCTGCCGGAGCTGCCCCACAGCCAGGGGGCGCCCATGAAGAGGAAGCACGAGGACGGGAGCCAGTCGCCGGGCGGCGGGAGCGGCGGCGAAGGGGATCCTCCGCGAGACAAGCGTCTCCGCACCACCATCCTCCCGGAGCAGCTGGACATCCTCTACCGCTGGTACGTGCAGGACTCGAACCCCACCCGCAAGATGCTGGACTGTATCTCGGAGGAGGTGGGGCTCAAGAAACGGGTGGTGCAGGTGTGGTTCCAAAACACCCGCGCCAGGGAACGCAAGGGGCAATTCCGGTGCAGCGCCAGCACCGGGATCCCCCCCATCAAGACCTCCCCATCCTCTTCCTTGGCCAAGTTGAGTCCTGGTGGCGGGATGGCCAACGTCTCCGTTGGTGGGACCTCCAATGTCTCCAGTGGCGGGATGGCCAACGTCTCTGGTGGCGGGACCTCCAGTGTCTCCAGCGGCGGGATGGCCAATATCTCTGGTGGCGGGACCTCCAGTGTCTCCGGTGGCAGGATGGCCAACATCTCTGATGGCGTCTCTGACGATGGGACAGCCACTGTCCTCTACAGCATCAACCAGGCCGAGCCAGAGCCGTCAGAGTTGAACGAAGCACGGAGCCCATCCGGCGGCGATCTGAGTGATTCTTCTTCCTCCTCTTCCTCCTCCTTGGCCGATCCGGAGTCGCCAAGCGGGCATGGGCTGGCGTTGGAGGGGGCGGCCGGGCTGGATCTGCTGGGCCAGCGCCGCTACCGGACCCAGATGTCCAGCCTGCAGCTGAAGATCATGAAGGCGTGTTACGAGGCCTACCGAACACCCACCATGCAGGAGTGCGAGGTGCTGGGTGAGGAGATCGGCCTGCCCAAAAGGGTCATCCAGGTCTGGTTCCAGAATGCCCGGGCCAAAGAGAAGAAGGCCAAGGCGGCCTTGGGCGAGGGGGGCCCTGGGGCTCCCTCCGAGGGCCCCCCTGAGCCTCGGGCTGAGTGCCCCGTCTGCCAAGTCAAGTACGACTTCTACGTCTCCTGCCGTGGCCACCTGTTCTCCCGTGGCCACCTGGCCCGGCTCAAGGAAGCCGTGCAGGCCCAGCTGCGCAGCGAGGGTCATGATGGAGCGCCAGGACCCCCGCTCCTGCCCGTCCCCCCTGGAGCGCCCCCGGCAGCCGGTGCCGCAGGTGAGTGGCAGGGCGTGGAGAGGTGAGTGGGGTCAGTGGGGGGAGGGGAAGGGGGCTTCCCTGCCCCTGCTTCAAGTGTCCTCCCACATGCCCCCACGCCTCTACATTGCTCCTCCCTCTCCCTCCCCGGGCCAAACCACCGTCCCCCTCTCCTGTCCCCCTTCCGCATGCTCCCCACTCCCTCTCCTCTAGCGGTGCCCCCCAGCTTCGAACCTCTTCCCCTCTGCTCCCCCATTTCCCTCCCCTTTCCCAACTTCCTGCCCTCTCTGGGACCCCATCGGGTGGGGGGGCGGGTTCCGGTGGTTGTGCAGGGGGGTGGGGGAAGAGTGGGACTGGGGGGGAGGGGCAGGTATACTCAGCCCACCATGGTGACCTCCCCACAATGCTTTTCCCCTCCCCTTCCCCATCCTCTGAGCAGGCCCCTCCGCCGCCCCCAGCACCGGACTCCTGGGTTCCACGCCGCCAGGACGTCCCTTACCTCAGAGCCAGCTCGGCTCGGCGCCGGAGCCCGCCGGGGAGACCCAGCCGGAGCCGGGAGCCGCCGGAGTGTCGGTCGCCGGAGCCACCAGAGTGTCCGTCGCCGGAGCCGCCAGACTTCCCAGCACCGTGGCCAACCCCACCTCGCCCACCCTAAAGACCCTGAAGGGTTTGAAGCCGACGGTGCCCGCCCTCCTGGGCACCCAGTTCCTGCCCTTCTCCGTGCCAGCGGGCGCCCCAGCCTCCCTGTTCAGCGCCCCGCTGCCCGGCGGCTACTTCCAGCAGCTGTACGGCATGAAGAAGGGGCTGTTCCCCATGAATCCCGTCATACCTCAGACCCTCATCAGCCTGCTGCCCGCCCCCGAGGCCCCCGAGCCGGCCGGGGTCTCCACAGTGGACGTGGCCCACCGCTACTTGTGCCGCCAGTGCAAGGCGGCGTTCGAGGGGGAGGAGGCGGCCGCAGCCCACCAGGCCGGCTTCTGTTACTACGGCCAGCCGGCGCCGGCGCCGCTGCGGGTGCCCGTCTGCACCTACCACTGCCTGGCGTGCGAGGTGCTGGTAAGCGGGCGGGAGGCGCTGGGGGCCCACCTCCGCTCCAGCGCCCACCGCCGCAAGGCCAGCCCCGCCCCCGCCGCCAGCCCCGCCCCTGGCCCCGCCCTGGCCTTTGCCAAAGAGGAAGCAAAGTTACCTCACTCGGACCCCAGCCCAAAAAGCAACTCTACCTCGACCACGCTTCTAGCTTTATGAACAGTGCGGGGTGCAGCTGGAGATGGGGGGTGCCTGGACACCCCCCCCCGCCCTGGGGAACCACCTCCCGGAACCCTCCACCCTGGGTGACCCCCATCCTGGAACCCCCAATGCCAGCCCCCAAACCCCCTCACTCTGGGGAACCCCAGCCCAGGACTGCCCCGTGTCCTGAGGGACCCCCAACCTGGGACACCCACTGCCAGCTCCCAACATATCCATATACCCTCCCAACCTGCTCCTGGCTGCCTCCCCAATCCTAATGTGCCAACCCCCCATACCCAAATACCCCCTTGCCTCCCCATACTCCCAACCCAGATGTAGGGAGCTGGCACTTCTGAGTGCGTGTGTGTGGGGGGGTGAATTCAAAGCACACACCCCGCCTTCTAGGTTGGTGAGGTGCCCACACATGTGCTAGGCGTGTTCCCAACACAGCTGGCCCCCAGACATCCCCTCCTCTCTGCACATGTGTGTGTCAGGCATGTTCCCACCACGCAGGCTCCCCCAAATGCCCCCAGCCTTCGGTCCCACACATGCTCCCCGTGTGTCCATCCGTGTATCACGGGTGGCTCCCCAGAGACGCTCCAGACTCTGCCCCCCCCAACACATAACATAAGACAGGGCTTCCACATGACACACCCCCCACCTCTCTCTTCCCCCCCAGCCTCCCTTCCCCCCATGCCAACTCCCAGGTACCCCCCAGGTGCCCCCCCAGCACATGCCCCATACTGTTACCGATCAAGACAGGCCAAAACCAAAACTCAACTCAACGGACAGCACGAGAGACAAACTCAAGGAATCGAAAAATGGGGGGGGGCAACTCTTGGTCCCCCCATCCGTCCCCCCCCATATCCTGCCTCTTCTCCCCTCGAGCATGCTCCGCCCATTGTGTATAGAACTCGTCGGGACGGACGGACAGACAGACACTGGCTCCAGCCCCAACCAAACAGGAGACCGGGGGCCCATCCCCCCTCCGGTCTCTCTCCTCACGGCCGAGGGCTTCGCGGGACCAGCCCTCGCTCCCCAATTTTTTCGGGGTGGGGAGGAGGGCGTGGATTGACAGACGCTCCCCCACCCCCATCCTTCGAAGGCTTTAAAAGATCCCCACGCACCCGGTTCCCCACCCAAAAAAACCCCCATCCAACCAAGCTGCCGGCCGGGGAACGAATTCACCCCCCTCCCGCCCGCCGCCCCGCGAAGCCAAAGCTTCTCCTACCGCGGCACCACAACCAAAAATCCCACCAACCACGTGACGGCCCGAGCAAGGACCTAACAGACGCCCCCACCCCCACACAAGAGAACTTAGCCCCAGGCCGCACGCCAACGTCCGACGGCTGTTCCCCCCCCTTCCCGGCCTCGTCACCGGGGTGGAGATTTTAAAGCTTTTTTTCCCCATGTCCCCCGCACCCCAGGACCCAGTCATTTGTACGACGGGAAGGGGCCGTTTTCTGTGCCCGCTCGTCGCCGCGAACCAAACGAACTACAAAGCGCGGGAGGGGGTGGAAAGGGGGGGGAATAAAACTTGGGCTTGTGCCCCCCCCGTCTCCAACCCCCCCTCCCCACCGGAGCACCAAAAAAACCCGGCGTTTGTTGTGTATTTAAAGAAAAGAGGGGGACAAGGGAAAAGATCCCCCCGAAAAGGAAATAAAAGGAATTGAAAATAAATGCTATGAAAGAAAAGAGGGTCGGGGGGGGCATCGGGTCACGGAGCGGATGAGCAAAGCGGGGGGAAGAGTCAGAAGGAGAAAGTGGAGGGAGATGGTGGAAATTCCCATGGTTTTAGACCTGTCCTGTGTGTTCCCGCCCCTGGCTCCGCCTCCTGTGGAAGGAGCCCCGCCCCCTGCAAGGCTCTGCCCCCTCTGGGCTGACTCCACCCCTTCCTTCCTAGCTCTGCCCCTCCACCTCAGCCCCTTTCCCTGCTCTCCCCACTCCTCCTGCAGAGACTCGCTCCTTCTCCCATAGACCCCGCCTCTTTTGCCATAGACCCCGCCCCTCCTCAATTAGACCCGCCCCTTCTGTCATTGGTCCTTCCCACCTCCCTAGGCCCATCCTTCCCACCCCTTTCTCCGTGAGCCCCCCAACCCCTTTCCTCACCCTAGTCCCAGCCTTTTCCCCATTGGGCCCTATCACTTCCTCCTTAGCCCCACCCCTTCTTCCTATATTGAACGCTTCCCCTTATTGGCCCCTCCCACTTCCTAAGAGCTACTCCATTGGCCCAACCCCTTCCTGCATTAGTCCCTCCCATCTCCCTGGTTCCCCCTCCCCCCCATAGTTCTGCTTCTTTATTTGTGACCAGAATTGACCCCGCCCCTTTCTCTTTGACCCGCCTCTCATGCTCCATGTGGGGGAAGAGGGGGAGCATAAGGAGACTCCACATACTTATCCAGACCCCTGCCTCCTTCCCTGCAAGGGAAGAGGTGGGGCTAAGGAGGTGGGAGGGGCCAACGGAGGAAGGGGTGGTGGCTAAGGAGGTGGGCGTGGCCAGTGGAAGCGGGAGTGGGGCCAATGGAGTTGTGGGGCATGGGTTATGAGGTAAAAATGAGGTGGGGTGACCATGGAGGTGGGCCTGTGGGGATTGGCATATGGCGAGGAACCAACTGGATGCCATTTTGGTGTGACCCACCAAAATTAAAACCCGGCTCTATTACCCTCTCACCCCCAAATCTAGCCTCATCTATCCCGGGCGGTCAGGAAATAGTCTTGGGGATGCAGGGGGGAAGTGGCAGACAAGGTGTTCCCCCAGTTCCCCATCATGCACCCCCCATATGGGCCCCAAGCTCCCCATACCCCTCCCCTCCATCCTGCCCTACAACTTCACCCCCCACCACCATTACATCCCAGCCCCCGGGAACCCACATCACCCAGACACACCCCATCCCCCACCCTCCCCCTCTCCCATCCCAGCCCCACCTCACCCACCTACTGCCCCACCCCCTCCCTTCTCCCCACTCATCCCCCTTCCTCCCACCCCATCATCTCAACCCCTTCCCCCACCTGACTCCCCCCTTTCCTTCCCCAACTCTTCCCCAAAGCACCCACTTGGCATTGTCTAACCCAAGGGCAAGAGAAGACGGAAGAAACAGGAGGAGTAAAGTGGGGGGGGCAGTTCCCCCATCCTCCCCGTGTTTCCCTCTCCACCAACACCAAAGATCTGAAGAAATTGGATGTGCAGATCTCAAAGCACTTCACAAAGGAGGCTGGGTCATCAGCTCCCACTTCACAGATGGAAAACCTGAGGTATGGAGCAAGGTCACCCAATGGTAGAGCTCGGAATTGAACCCAGGAGTCCTGGCCTCTAGTCCAGTGCTCCACCCATTAGGACTCACCCCCCACCCCCCCCCCAACACAGCCAGGACCCAGACACCCTGCCCACAGCTGGGGCATCTTGCCAGTTGTTCCGCTTTGGTAAGCGAAAAAACATCCCCTGTGGCGCAGGGTGATTGCGTTCACCTGGACTTTTCGATTCCAGTCCAGAGCTAAATAGCCTATATCTGGATTATACATATAATATGAAAGGTGATGGACAGAGGAGAGGGTGGTGAATTTTTCCCCTCAGAAAGGGTGGTTTTTTTAGCAAAAAATGCCACTTTAGTCTAAATTAAAAGACTTCGACCAACCTGCCCATTTCAATAACATTTCGTTTAGGGAAGAAACCATGACGTGTTTTTGAGATGGCAGGAAAATGTTCAGAAACAAAATCCATTGGGTGCCTTTAACAACGTTCAGAAAGCTCGCCAGCCGAGCGAGATGTTTTGATTTTATCGGGGGAAAGCCCCCCCAACATTTCAATCACCCAAAATGATTTTTTTCCCCACAATTTCGTTCTGTGGGAAATTGTAAACATTGTGGTTTTCCTGCCAGTTTTCACATTTCTTTTTCATTGAGCAATTTCCCATAACCAGAAAATCCAATTCCCATCCATCGCTCTGTATGATTGAATATAGCATAGAATATTAAAAGCGTTAATCTATTTCTGTATGTATACATATATTAATTACTATATTATTTAAGATTATTGCTCTATCAAATAATTTTTTCACCAGATCTAGCACCAGGCTGGCACTCAGGAAACTTGGGTTCAAACCCCTGATCCACCCCAGACTCCATGGTCAACTCACTTAACCGTTCCATACCTCAGTTTCTCTTCTTCCTAACATTCACATTTCCCTACCTGATAGAAGTATTGTGAGAGTAAATACGGTAAAGGTTGTGAGGGGCTCAGATCTCACGGTAAGTACCATTGGTAGACACGGATACCCCAGTTTTGATGGGAATTGTGTACCTAAGAATCTCTTGAGAGCTCTATCGATTTTTACACCCAAGGTGAAATATCGTGAACCCCAACTGGTGCCATGGCTGGCCAGAAAGGGTTCACCTTTGTGGGGCCTGGGGTTATTAACCATGAAACAACGCCAGTGTGAGAAGAACATAAGATACGGGTCAGACCAAACGTCCATCTAGCCCAGTATCCTGTCTTCCGACAGCGGCCAATACCAGGTGCCCCAGAAACAGACGGATCATGATGCTCATTCTCTTGCCCTGCCTCTCTTGTTCTCCTCTTCGCTGGAGTTCCCACCCGAAACAATTGGCTCTTTTGCCAAAGGAGGGGAAGAGGGACCTGTCTTTGGGCAGGAGGAGAAAAGAGATGGGGAAGGTGCAAAGAAGGGGAAACGATGGGAAAATAGAGAAGATGGAAGTGGAAACTCACAGGGTGAAGGGAAGGGGACAGGATCTGGGGCACGAAGGGAAAGATGGGCGGAAAACATACCGTCCAGACGGCAATTTGGAAAAAATGAAGAAAATCTTCATTTTGGGTGGATACGTAAATGAATTGTTTCAAACCTTTCAGCGCATGGAAAAGTGAAAAGAAGTTGAATTCAGGTGGCACAAGACGGTGGGTTTTTTGGACAAAATTGAAAGTTTTGGCTTCAGTTGTGACCTTTGCATCCACTCGGACCTGTTCACTGGTTATTGGAAGGGAACTAAGGGGAAAGGGGAGAGAA